TGTGTGTGTGTGTGTGTGTGTATTACAGTATATTGAATTGTGTCACTTCTAATCAGCGTTTGAATGCGTCCTGGAAACTGTTGCCACATATTTCTCTCTGTCTCTGACTGTGAGTGGTATTCGCCGTGTGTGTGGCTCTGGAGGAATTAGAATGGCGAGGGACGGGGTGACAGCAGTTGTTAAGGAGTTGCCATGGTCACCGCTGCCCAGGAACAATGTTGAGCTGAGAATGCTCCGCTCTGTTAGAGACTGAATGGAATCCTGAGGTGCACTAGCATGTACACGCTTCATACAGTGACACAATGAACACACACACACAAGATGTCGTCATCCAACAGGATTCAGGAGACTCCGGTTTGAGGCTGAACAGTCCATCATCAGTGTAGCTGTGTTGGACTAGACACCATGAGAGTTAAGCCGTGAGCATGTCTCTGTTGCCTCTTTTCTAAAGCACTGCTGGGCATCTTAATTTACTGGGCTGTGAACTGCGAGGGCAGACATGAGGGGAGCTCCACAGGGAGACACATTCAACATTACAAGGACAAAACCCACTGTTGATAATGGGATTTGTGTGATTTCCTCTTTGTGGCCACTTCCTTTCTCTTGCTATGAAGTGGAATTTCAAAACGCACAACTTTGTGTGTTGTCATGCATGCAGCTCTGAGCAACTATTGTTCAGTTTTTGTGAGGAGGATGATGTGCATGTGTGTGTGTGTGTGAATGGGAGGGTAAAAGGGTGTTTGCCCTGCTAACTCTGCCCCCATCGCGAGCCCCTTCGTCCTCCCCTTGTTGTCATGCACAGGCGCTCTCCCTTTGGCACAAAGTGGGCTGGCAGCACAAGAGCCATGTGTTTTAGCTCCATGCTTTGAAGGACTCAAAAACAAAAACTTTTCAGAACTGTTTCTAAGAGACGTTGTGTAAAGGGAGGGAGAAGAAGGGGAGAGAGAAAAGAGGAGGAGAGTGGGAGTAAAAGTGAGTGTAAGCGTGAGAGAGATGGGTCGCACAAGGAGCTGCATACAAAAAGACGTCGTCCTCCATGTGGTGGTTTGATCTCAGCAGCTGAGGGATACCTTTGCTGGACTGTGTTTGCAAGAGACTCCACAACAGGTGAGTGTGGACGGAGCAGCATGTGAGAGATGGAGTCGTCAACTCTTGGTTGGAGCAGAAAAAGGAAGAGGTTGTTCAAGTGATGCTGAGAGATAAGGAGCCTGATGACTGTTTTTCTTTCAGTTTGATGTTGATCTGTGATTTGGTGGAGACTGACGAGTAAGGGGGGTTTTCAAGGCTCACACCAATTTTGATATTTTATGAGCTAAACATTTTAATGATGACAATACATTTTACTTTCCATTAATATATGGACTCTAGTGGAGACCACAGATTCTGGTGAGGGGCTTATATTAAATAGATTTCCCAGTTTTAGAATCACAGGAAGCAGGTATGGTAAAGGCTTAAGTTAATGTTGTCCCCTTTTTATGCTTGTTTGTTATTTTTGCAGAGGCCATATTCTAGTTTTGTAATTGCCACTGTTTTTATTTTTCCTTCTTAATCAGAGTTGTTGATGATCCTTGTTGTGAAAGATACAAAATAAGATACTGGACCTGAGCTCTTTATTCACCAGCCACTCGTCAGCAGTGTCCATTTCCTCTCGTCACTTATTTGTTTCACATTTGCTGTTTGTTTTCTTCCTTTTGCCAGAGGTTGTATTCCTCGCTGATCGTTTCCCATCCGACCCGCAGTCGTCCACCATTGCTTCAGAGATGCAGTGTGAGGAGCTGTCAGCCAGAGACGAGTTCACCTACAGCCACATGCCCACTCTGGAGAGAGGCGGCAGCTCGCTGGGACGGCGTGGAGACAGGGGATTGGAGAGAAGGCCAGACAGGGGGGAGCGGGACAGACCCGAGCGGGATAGCTACACGGTGGACGTGAGGGCCAGTGACCTGCAGCTGGCCCAGCCGGAGCCTCTAAAGCACCCCTGCTTCAGCTACAGGGCCTGGCTCTACAGTGTCCTCATAGGGGTGAGAGGAAAGATGGTCAGGGAGACTTAAAGGAGGAACAGAACAGGATTTACCTTTTTTTTAAAGTCCAGAACACAATTTGAAAGGATTGGGGTTTTCTAATTGGGAAAATCCCAATCTTGACAATTTGAGTGAGATGGCAACAGGAAATCTTGTTTTGTCCTTCCACGTCCAAGCAAGAGCTTGAACATGTCTTTCACACTTTCCTTGTTTGGTCAGGACCCTCAGAACTTTCTGTTTAGTCTGAACCAAAATAACAGGTGTGAAAGGTGCCTCTTACCACAGTCCACAACCTCAGACCAAAACTTAGTCTGACCACCAGCCATAGAAATAAATAAGGTTCATAAAATTAAATTTAAAGCAAATTAATCAACAGCAGGAGGTAAAATAAAACCAGATTTAAACCTTAAATGGCCCCACGGATTAGAAATGAGTTGAGCTTCAGATTGTTCTGTTATTGCAGTTGTACAATGAGGAAGAACTGCAGTTGCTGAGCTCAGTAAATTCAGTTGGCACCTGCAGAGTCATCCAGTCATCTGAGCGTGTTCGATGAGAAATGAACTGGTTCATTCATTTTCTCCAGTCAAACAGAAACAATGCTACCGGCCAAACTCACAACCTGCTGACGTCAGATGAACGTCCGCCTACAAGCCCGTCTAGGTAAAGACAGATGCAGCCCGAGTAGCTGATAACGACAGGATGTACATGTGTCATAATAAAGTCGATAGTCCGGTCCCTTCATTGCAAAGTGACACTAAAAATAACAATGAACTAGGATAAGGATTTGATCTGAGTACATAAAAGTGGATACGTAATAGGGTGTGCTTTGGTATGAGCATTCTTTTGCAGCCTCACCTGTTGAATGCATATATGAGTATCTGTATCTGTATGTGTGTGCATGCCTGTGTGTGTCCTCAGGGCAGTCTGCTCATCACATCTGGTTTCTCCCTGTACCTGGGAAACGTGTTTCCTGTTGCCATGGACTACCTGCGCTGTGCTGCGGGCTCTGTAAGTGACCACAATCCAAATCACATTTACTTTACCTTTTTACCTTCAGCATGAGTTGATAAACATTGATTAGAGTCGTGTCAAAATGCCGGCAAAACGTTATTTACAGACCTCCTGCAGCATCCTGCGTAGATAAATGCAGCTGCTCTTCTGTCGTTCTTCACAGGGCCTCCCTGCAGCCATAGCTAGTTTTGCCATCGCCAAGAACAGACATGTTGCAGTGAGTAAACAAGCACACGGAAGGCTAAAGAGATAATTGTGTTTTAATTGAGTTTTAATTGAATTGTCTCATCCATGTTTTATTCTAATGCACATCTCATTATTCTGTCTTCAAGGTGTCAGATTTCCAGGTGGTCTATGTGTCAACATTTGCTGTAACAACCACCTGCCTGGTTTGGTTTGGCTGTAAACTGGTCCTGAACCCCTCTGCTGTCAATGTAAATCCTGGATAATAACACGACGATGAGAACTATCGCTCATTTCGCAGCAGATCAATGACCTCACGTCTTCGGTCGTCCTCTGTTGTATTTCAGTCCTCCTGCTCTGTGTGTTCTCAGATCAACTTTAACCTCATCTTGATGATTGTGCTGGAGGTGTTGATGGCCAGTACTGTCATCCTGTCAGCCCGCTCTGCAGAGGACTGCTGCTGCCACAGGAAGGTGTGTGTGTTGTGTGCATATGAGCGTGTGTGTGTGTGTGTGTGTGTGTGTGTGTTTGAGTGATTGATTGCTTTTGTTCCCCCATCTGATTCCTCTCCCCTCTTTCTCTCCCTTTAGCTTTCACTCTTCCACCCTAACTCCTCTCGATCTTTCCATCCATCTTCCAGTCGGTGACATACGACAGACCTGTGGTTATAACGCCTGCAGTGTTCCCCACTCGACTCCTCAAAGCATATTCTGTGAGTAGGTTTCTGTTTCGTTACATATTCTGCTACTGTGTGGTTCCAATATGTCTCTTCACATGAGGAGTGTCTCTACAGGTGATCGAAGTGATTGTGGGAATCTCAGCTGTGTTTGGAGGCATCATTGCCCTCAACATGGACGCTTTGCTGCCAGGTCCCTACTTATCTGTCACATTTTTCTGGATCCTTGTCGCTGTAGGTTTTTATTATTTAAGCTTGTTTTTTTTATTATAACAGAGATTTCAGTTCAGAGTGATAACTAAAACATCTGGTCTTCATTCCTTTGCAGTGTTTCCCAAGTGCTATTGCAAGCCATGTTGTATCAGAATATCCCAACAAATGCCTGGTGAGTGTAAGACAATACTGTGAGAGCCTCAGTCTTGCTCTTCTCATAGTCTACTGATGCCAGAGTGCTCTGCGTTGGTACTGTTGGATTTCTTTTGACACTGTAGATTGATAGATAAGGGCAGTGGGTAAGTATCTCTGGTTCAGCCCTAAAGTGGTTCTCCTCCTACCTCTAGGAGTTCCCCACTTTCTGTTGGCAACTTTCATCTGCCACTGGTGTGCCCCAAGGTTTTGTCCTGGGTCCTATTCTGTTTACCTTGTTTATGGTGTTCATGTCTATTTTAAATAACTGCCCACATGCCAGATTGTTTTCTAATACTCTTTCTTCTAAAGTTAACTCACTTCAGTAATCTGTAATCTAGTTCTCTTTCCTCTATTAAATCATGTCTTCAAAACCTAGGTGTCACTACAGATCAGGCACAGACTTAAATCCTCTGATCAGGGTTTGTTCTTTATTTGTTTAGGTTTTCTCCTAATTTGAAAAATGCGTCCTTTGGACTTAAGAGAAGTCTATCTGTCCAGTTCCTTACTCTTTTGTATCCTGACGCACTTTGTGATGTTGGTGCAATATGAATAAAATAAAAACCTGAAATCTCAAGAAGGATAGACTTTAGTGTCCATTACATTTTTTCTGGCTCTATTATGGTCTGAACATTTTTCTCTTTCTTCTTGATGTTTCTCAGGTGGAGGTGCTGATCGCCATCAGCAGCGTGACGTCACCCCTGCTCTTTTCAGCCTCGGGCTTCCTCTCTTCCAGTGTGATCAGCTTCATTGAAATTTTTCTGCATGATGTGCCCACAGCAAAGGTGAGCTTAATGAGGTGTACATCTGCCGTAGAATGCAATGTGCAGGTTGCAGGATTTTCTTCATCTTTTGTACAAAGCAACCTGAATAATTCAATCTTGCCTGCATGTGTGTGTGTCTGTTTGTGTGTGGTCCAGCAATCCTATGACATCCTGCTGCTGATTCTCATGGTGCTGCTGCTGGTGCAGGCAGTTCTGACTTCAGCCACTGTGGTGCACTGTGCCTCCTACAAGAGTCAGCTCCGCATGGGGGCTCCAGAGTGCGGAGAGAGCATGCCCATGCTGACCCATTACTGTGAGGTAAGGCAGGTGAAGGCAGGAATTTGCTTTCTCTGCCCATTTCCAGCAAAAGATAACTGTCAATTTTGTAATAGACACCGCACCAACACCTGCTCCAGATGTTAGACTCCCTGGTTTTGGCTCATGTAAATAGCATGTTAGTGTGAAAACATAAAAATCAATGAGCTAGTCAAACATTAAAAATGACATTTTTTCACACGTCATTTATCTCTCACCTCTCCCTTCCACATTTCCCCTCTCTTCTCCTCCTCCCTCTCTCTGTTTTGCTCCCTCAGCAGCAAGCGTCCAGTGGAGCGCAGGATTTTGACAAAGACAGAGCTTGGAAGGCAGTCGTGGTCCAAATGGCCCCGTGAACAGTCCCACTGTACATGGAGAGGTTTGGAAGAGAAGTGTAAACACAACAAACTGTGTAAGCTGTAAGCACAGAACAATCCCGACAGAGCGTTATAGAAGAAAGAAGGGAGATGTGTAAAGATGTTGACAGAGGAAAGAGGAGAAGAATGGAAATATTAGAATGAAATCAGAAAAGGATAAAAAAAACAGTTTTTATGTTTTTAATTATTGTTATTATTATGATTTTTTTTGTATTCTGTGTTTTTATGGTTGTTGCCTGTTAGTGAGAAGTGTCATTGTGAACCTTCATCTGTTTAATAAGCACAAGTCCCTTTAAACTGACATAATATAGACACAATCAACAAATTCTTTTTATCTTCAGTAACATAAACCTGTTTGAACCTAAATGCTTTTAATTTTCATGTTTTACATGTTTTACTTTGTTATACTGTGAATACCTGAATTAATTCTCCTTTTAATGGATGCAGCACAATATAACGAATATCAAGGTTGAACAATTAGATGAAAAAGTAAGTCTTTATGTGTAAGAACATAACATCCAACACATGCATGTTCATATGTCTTTTTAATATAATTTTCTATCCATTCAAAGACTCCCTACTTACTTTTACTTTGTGGACTACTCCTGGTATGGACACTTTTGGTTGTTTGACCTTTATCTGTGTTTCATTCTGTGTTTCCTGTTTTATTTTGTAAGTCTGATCTTCCTCGTGTTTCAGTTCAGCTTACTTCCTGCCTTGATATGTTTCACCTGTTTGTCCTGTGCCACCTGTCTCCAGTTTGTCATCAGCTCAGTTTGTATTTGAGTCAAGTCCTCAGTTCTGTCTTTGTTCACTCGTCTGTGTAGTGAAGGTCGTAGCAGCTCCCGGCCTTGTTTTCCTTTCATGGACTGTTTGACTTTCGCCTTTTGTTTCTCTCTGGGTCTGTTACTTGTGTTTGAGCTTTTTTGGAATAAATTCTGTTTTTTGACTTGGATCTTCCTCGCTCCTACATTTTGGGTTGTTTATCACCTGCCTCTGGCTCACTTTATTTTGAGGTATCAACCTGTCAGTGTGTGTCAAAATATTTGCTTTTCTACGTTGCTCATTTGATTACATATGCTCGATATATATCAAATATACAATAGATATTATATATGTCTCAATGGCAGACTGAGCCAATCAGAAGACAAAAAAAATATAGCTCTAATTACCTATATCCTAAATATAACTTCCAAGGAAATATTGTTTACGTATTACTATTTTCGATGTGATGTGTCTCCAGATGGTTATTTGTGTGCCTGCTTCATCGAACCTCTGCACTTGTGCTCTCTTGTTTATAATGAGAATGGTGTTCTCATTATTGTTGTGCTCTCATTTATTTGCTGTGCCAGTTTATTTAATTCCTTCCTCTGTTAATTTACTCCCTCTGCTCCAGTCTTTGGTAAACACTGCACATGATATATTCTTATTAACAAGGATCCATTTCCCCTCTCTCCACACAAGATTATATTTAAAAAAGGTTGAAGTGAAACTCAAACATCCATTGAGAGATATTTTGTTTCTAACCAATGGTTAAATGCATATCCAAACCTTTTTCGGCCAGGTTTTGTTTTATACTTCATGCAGTATAAAATGTATTTAGTAAAACTACTGTATTGTGATGCAGTTATTTCAATTATATGCTTTAGCGGGTGCTGCTGTGCTGGACTGTATTATATTCAGAAGTGTTTATACTAACCTGGGATTGGCATCGTGTTTCTGTGACCCCCAAAGAATAAGCGGGTGGATGGATGGATTTTGATGGTGTACAGTTTAGTACAAAAACTTAAAGTCACAAACTGTTGAGATGAATTGTGCAGATGAAACTTGATAAAGTGGTCACTGGGTGTATTAGGCCTCAAATGAAAGGACATGAATGATGGGATTTTTTTTATACTCTTCACACCAATATGACACATGTAAGACATGAACATTACAGTGAGAGAGGAGAGGGAGGGAGGGAGGTGGAGAGACGAGCAGACACAGTGAGGAGCAGCGCTTCTCGCTTAAACTGGTGGAAACCGGCTGGAGGAGAAACTGACTTGTGGCTCAGTCGAGCTGACGAACATCGGGGGCGTGCTCACAGGGAGACAACAAAAATCCCAGTAGAGATGATGGATGATGTAATACAGGCCCATATATTCAGCAGTAATATAATGTAGCCTGGTAAATTAAGTGTTAGTCTGTGTGATTCAATAAGAGCCACTTATATTTTAATATTTTATGCTGTTTCCTTAAAAGACCTCCCTCAAAGCAGGCTGCTGTTTACAGTTAACATCATCACACAGGCCTGTGCACCACTACAAATACCTCATTTAAAATAATGGCTCCTCCACTCTCGCTCTACTTTGTTCTAATCTTGGGTTTGGCTTCTGCTGCATGAATACTTGTGATTCTGCTGCAGCTGCTGCTGTCTTTGGAAAACATAAAAAATTAAACCCATGAAAATATAAAAGTGGAATCCAGATGCTCGCCACACCCAGTGAGTTTGAGTGACAGCTATGTTTCCCTCACACTGTTTGTGCGTGTCCGTGGCCAGGCCCACGTGCACAGATGATTGACAGGCTGCATGGACCTATCAATGTCACAGTCACCGCCTTAGTTCTGTTGTGCATTTAAATACTGGTATAACACACCATAGAATAAGAGCCTATGTATTAAGCCTATTATTTTATTATTATGGAATTTACACTTTTAATCATGATTGCATCACCGCAACGTTGAGGAATCCGATTGTCCAACATCTCAAAACCTTCACAGATGAATTTGTTCCTGCAGCACAGCCTCACTCAGTTTTTTTCCCAGCATCTCGGCTCCTGTGCTGGATAAACACGGGGTGATGTGATGAACTACAGAATCTTAATGTGTCGTCTCATCCCTTGTTTCTGAGGAAGAGATTAGGAGGCAGGGCAGGGGAGGGGAGATGCAGGGGAGGGGAGGGGAAGGCGGAACAAACCGGTGCGCTCGGATACATGTTGTAGCTGCTCGCCCGCACTGCAGATTAACTCTTACCGTGCCGGGGGATGCAGCGAGACACGGTGAGTGGGGTCTTGATTGTTTTTACCACAGCATGCACATATCTCTGTGTCTGCAGCGGCCAAAGAAGAAGAAGAGGAGGAGGAGGAAGAGGAGGAAGAAGAGTGGTGTTGTGTGGATGCAGTGTGGACAGGTAGACAGCTGATGCAGGTACTCAGCATCAGGATCTTCTCTCTTTCACACACACACACTCACAGAGAGAGTGGGGGAGTGTGTGAGCTGGAAGACAACACACACGCGCACGCACACACACACACTGATGTTGAGCAGCTATTCCAGGAGCTATCCGCCGCTCAGGTGCTGAAACGGCGGCTCGTCATCCGCAGGAAGCAGCTGCTGCTCACCGCTGCAAAGCGAAGTCTCTGAAGTGTGGTCCTCCTTCTCCTCCTCTTCCTCCTTCTCCTTCTCCTTCTCACCATCCCCTGGACTCGCAGACCTGTTGGAGAGACAAACAGCTGGAAGCGTCCCACAACACATGGAGGATGACATAATGATCTCATCCTGATGTACTGTTCCTGCAGTGTTTCCATTTAGGGAAGTCAAAAGTGAGAGAACAGTTTCCTTTATGCTGTCTTTCTTAATGAATACAAAGCAGTGTGCCTTCACAGCTTCTTGAAGGTGAATGCTTAAGATAGGTGGTGGAAGTGTCTGAGCCATGTGCACCTAAAGTTCTGTGAAAAGATCTCTTCCCTCTGTTGTCCCCGATGCTGCCTCTTTGCAGTCTGCTCTCTGCAACCGGAACAGACCTGTTGGGAAGACAGCAGCGAGAAGCATCCTATAACACAAGGATGAGCTCACTATGACATCATGATCTTCTCAGCCTGAATCTGCCTCTTTGCAGTGGGCTCTACTGGATTAGTGGGTTGTTGTAGCAGCCAAGAATTGTGGGATTCCCTCTAAACACCGACAGCATCGTCCAACTCAGGGACATAATCTGCGGGACTGGAGCGATGCAGGTGGCTCACATGCTGACAGCAGGGCAGCTTCTAACCGGACACCTAAAATGTGATGCTGCTCCCTTAAATTTAAATCAAGCAAAGTTTTTTCCCCCTTTTGATTATCCTTGAGACTTCTGCTTGAGGTCAGCTTTAACAAGTAGTCTTAAATAATGTCCACTAATGATATTCCTCACCTTATGATCTTTCTCACCATGTGGGTGAGAGTGCTATAAATGTTTTTTAACTGTGGCCTGCAGTCTGAAGGTTCCGCTCCCCAGGACATTAAGTGTATACTCTCCAGCCCTGGACTGGAGGATTTCATATGAGCTGTGTGTGTGTGTGTGTGTGTGTGTGTGCGTGTGCGTGTGTGTGTGCGTGCGTGTGTGTGTGTATGCATGCGTGCGTGCGTGTGTGTGTGTGTGTAATGAGACGAAAGTGAGGGGAGGGCAGTGGGAGTAATGATGAGAGAAAAAAGAAGAGGACGAGGAGGGAGAGCGAGAGGGGGAGCACTGTTGATGTGAAGGGGTGATGTATTTACACTCCTCCCGATAAGGACAGTCACATAACCTTCAAGTGAAATGAGCACGCTGCAGCCGCTGATCCCCCCCTGCACAGTTTCAGCACAACCATTTGCATGCACGTGCATATGTACGATGTCCCACTGGGTGCACATGATGTCCCAGTGAGAACATGCTCTTCCTCTGAGATGGTGACCACCAGGACTCCAGAGAAGGGCAGGGGACTGTTAGTGTCCAAAACAGACAGATTTGTCAAAACCACTGAATAGAATCGGGCTGACATGCTCCCCACAGACTAACTTTGCCCTTTAGTGTCCTTGCTCAAATAACTGGAGTTACCTCATCCACACACTCCACTGGTAAGAGCATGTGGGTTAGTCGTCCTCAGTAACAACTGCATTATGAAAGAATCTGGATGAGAACACATTCTTAAAGACGGTGTGAGCTGGTATCCATTATTAATTCATTATCTTAGTATATTCTTAGCCATAGTTAAGCTGTATTTAAAAATACTCACATTTTACCTCCCTAACTTGCTGTCTGTCTTTCAGGTATCGACTGGTCTGAGCTTCTTCTGACCGAAGCCCACGCAACAACTCTTCAGCCAACACTCACTCTCCCTGGGGTCTGCAAGGACGCCTCCTAAACTCAGCTCATTCCTCATCCTGCCACACAGAGCGTGTGGACTGAGGCCGGGCACTGTGGAGACGGGGCAGAACATAGAGGCGCACACAGAAGAGGCAGAGTGAGGTGTGTGTGTGTGTGTGCGCGTGTGTGTGTTTGTGTGTATGTGTGTGTGCACTTCTGGACACTCGTCTTCCTCTTAAAGAGCTTTGGGAAACTGTAGGAAACTCAAAGCTCTGAAGAACACAGATCACACAGCATGAGCCGCTACTTCCCCACACATGTTGACAGGGGCTGAGGTCGGCCACACCTTGACGTGTGTGTGTGAACACCAGACTCTAGAGGAGTCTCTGATTGCAGCAGAGTGAGTCTCCTCCAGCCCAGAGTGGGGTTGTAGTGTGCATCCTCTGTGTTCCGGATGCAGAACATCCTCGATCAGAACTTAGACATGGCCACAGCTCTACTCGCCGGCGAGAAGCTGAAGGAGCTGATCCTGCCCGGCTCTTCTCAGGATGAGAAGGGCGGGGCCTTGGCCAGCCTCATGGTCCAGCTCAAGCTGGAGCTGCCCTTTGATCGTGTTGTTACTATAGGGACGGTCATCATCCCCATCCTGCTGGTCACCCTCGTCTTCACCAGGAACTTTGCAGGTAAGACACGCAGCCACTAGAGGGGGTTAGGGGGTTCAAGGTACAGCAGCAGCCTGAGGTCAGGCTGATATCCGATGAGTTGCAGTTCTTTAAAATCGATGAAAACTCACAGATGTAGACCTCAAGACTCTCTGATACAGATTAGGCATGTGGTGCCTTTGTGTCGTCTGTATCAGTGTAAGACGGAGATAAGGTATGGAGAGACAGAGAGACAGAGAGGATGACAGACTGGAGATATGAGGGAATGGATTGTTGGGAGGGGGGAGAGAAGGGAGTCTGGTTGGAAAGGAGAGAGGGAAACGATGGATGGGAGGGATGTTAGTTCACTGCTGAGTCAGACTCTCTGCAGAGCAGCATCTAACCAGCTGGGACCGAGCGTTTAACTTTAGCAGCTGAGAGATGTGGACGTTTAGACAACTTCTCGGTTATTCATTCACCAAGGATACATGGGCACTGTCAAAACATAACTATTACAGCACAAGGACAGCACCCTGCCCTCTGCTACCCTGACAAAGTAATGCCACTGCGGATATCCACATCATGTCAAGTATTTTTATTTTAAATTGTTATAGTTTGTCATATGGCAAATACTGACACTTATACTTGTACCACACCGAGCTGATAGAGAACAACTTTGATAAGAAGATGTGTTATTATCACTTCCTCTATCTGAGGTGCTTCTGTCGTTTTAAAAAGCTGCACGAGAGATGCAGCTGTTTGTGCTGCACAGATGAAAGATTCTACAGGATTCTCAGAAATGAAACAGTGATCAGAAAATTTCAAGATACATCCTCAGAAATGAATGTGAATAGATCAAGGAACTGTGGTCTCTTTTTTACAGGTTAAAGTGAATATTAATTAACATGCAATTCATTTTATAATTTTAGATAAAACTGTTAAACTAGGTTTTCACTCTCATGTTGCTGGTTGAATTTTAATGTTATTTAATGTAGTGTTTGCCAAAATTTTTTAATGAGGTTGGACCAAAAAAGTCCCAGGATAAAGCATTGCATTGTTCTTCTTTCAGCTTGTAACATTGAATCATATCATAATAAGATATAATCATCCAACTTGTTTGAGTGATGTTATACTGATGTTTTCTATCTGCCCTTCCCTCAGAGGAGTCCATATACTGTTACACACCTCACAACTTCACCAGGGACCAGGCACTTTATGCAAGAGGCTACTGCTGGACAGAGCTGAGTGATGCTGTACCTGGTGTGGAGCATCACCTCTGGCCTTCGCTCTTTGAACACAAGTTCCTGCCCTACGCCCTGCTGGCGTTTGCTGGAATCATGTACATACCTGCTTTGGGCTGGGAGTTCATGGCCTCCACGCGACTCACCTCGGAGCTCAATTTCCTGCTCCAAGAGATCGACAACTGCTACCATCGAGCTGCTGAGGGCCGAGCCCCAAAGATCGAGAAGCAGATCCAGTCCAAAGGACCTGGCATAACTGAGCGAGAGAGGAGGGAGATCATAGAAAACGCAGAGAAGGAGAAGAGCCCAGAGCAGAACCTGTTTGAGAAATACTTAGAGCGACGAGGCCAAAGTAACTTTCTGGCTAAGCTTTATTTGGCTCGCCACCTGGCTATTATCTGCCTCAGTTCCATCCCCATTTCCTACCTGAGCGCCTACTATGCCCGCCAACGGCAGAATGAGTTCACCTGTGCGCTGGGTGAGCCCCCAGACATCAGCAGCTATTTAGAGCTGAAGCTCAGGGTTAACTGTAAGCTACCCGCCGTGCAGCTGCAGCGCATCATGGCCGCTGTTGACATATCTCTGCTCTGCACCATGAACCTCATCATCCTGATTAATTTGCTGCATCTGTTTGTTGTGCGCAAGTCCAACTTTGTTTTTGACAAACTGCATAAAGTTGGCATTAAAACACGGCGACGCTGGCAGAAGTCTCAGTTCTGCGACATCAACATCCTGGCCATGTTTTGCAACGAGAACAGGGACCACATCAAGTCCCTCAACAGGCTGGACTTCATCACCAACGAGAGTGACCTCATGTATGACAACGTGGTCAGGCAGCTGCTGGCGGCGCTTGCACAGTCCAACCACGACGCTACACCCACAGTGAGGGACTCTGGGATACAAACGCTCGACCCCAACATGGATCCCTCTGATCTGGGAGTGGGGGAGATGGCCGGGGAGCCGCTGGTCATCAAACGGCCTCGAAAGAAGATCAAATGGATCCCATCCTCAAATCCTCTCCCTCAGCCATTCAAGGTACAACGGTTTCCCAACATCAATGTCATAACTCATCATTACTCCTTCAGAGAAATCCTCCTTCTGTCCTTAGAAACAGAACAATACTCACATGTTCACTTGGAGCATGGCAGCTCATATCCACATGGACTGTGTCTGTACAAAATGTTTCCAAATCAACTATTTCAGCTCTTGATATGAGCTTGATATTTGCTCTTCCTTTTTTCTTTCATATTTCTTTCTTTCATATTTTATTCGCCATTAATATGATATGATGTTTTCTATTCTTTGTAAAGGAACCTCTTGCCCTCACACGCTTGGAAAATCACACCAAGCCTGAAAAACCCAAACAGCTCAGACGAAAGACGGTGGCCGACAACTTCATCGCACCACTTCTGGACAGCAAAGGCACACAGTATCCAGCAACAAAAGGTATACAGCTCTACAAACTGTAAGTGAACATGCAAGGAAAAGAGATTTAAAATTAAAGCTGCGCTAATCAACTTTTTATCATTATTCAATTGTGATGTCACCCTCAGATCTCCAAAGATATTTGGTGTCTTTTAGCTCATTGTTTTGGTTTTATGTCCCTTAATATTTGCTGTTTTGGTCCAGATTCTTCACTTTCTCTAGCGTTGTAGCAAATGTTTTCAGCTCTGATAAACGCATGTACACAATCTGAGCAAAACAGAAAGATAGTAAATCATACGATATGGTGTTAACAGATAAATGTGTCCTGGTGCCTCCAAGAAGCAAGGAAACCAGTTGATGCTGTTTTTGGATGGATGATGTTCTTGTTTACTTCCCTGTGTTTAAGTTAGTCTCTTTTTTGATTTGTAGATATAAGCGCGATGGAGAAAAAGCTCACTCGCAACTTCTCTCTGGACGTCCACCCGTACATGCTGACCATTCGTAAGCCCAAGGTGGAGGCCACAGCTGTGGTACCACTACCCTCAGAGCACAACATGGACACTGTGTACCTTGAAGGCACGCACACCATCGTTCATGTGTCTGGTGCAATTACAGGTAAAATTAATCTTTACATATACAAGATACAAGATACTGTTTTACATCTATATTCACCTCTTGTGTCTTTCCTGTCCTGTTTTTCCTTCTCGACTCTTCAGAGACTAAGGTGTGCTCTCCAGAATCGACCAACCAATCCTTTTCTACCGTAGCCCTGCCCACCACTGCATATGTAAATGGGGTGAGCCCCAACCCACCGTCCAGCGAGGATGCACTCAGTCCCAAGTCTTCCCCGCCACAAAGGGAGCCCCTCACTGGCCAGGCAGAAAACCCTGAGCCTCAGACACTACCCCTGACCAGAGCGCCCACACACCAGCTGCTCAGCATACACCACACTCTCTTTGAGGAAGACGAGGACGAAGAACACCGTAGAGACAGACTGGCAGGGAGACCGGGGGAGCTCATCGCCGCCGGGGAATGTTAAAGACGGAGAAGACGCCCACTGAGATTCCTCTCTGCACATGACCCCTGTGTCAATCCTCTACTCCAATCCAGAGCCTCCCCCGCTCACCTACTCTCACTTCTTACACTTCTGTGATGGGTGGATTGGGCTGACTGATGAAAAAGAGAGGGAAAAACATTTGGATGGTTGAAATATTCAGAGGATAAATAAGACAGAGATTTTTTGCATTTTGTTGTGTTTACCAGAGTATTTCTGTAGGAACTGATGTCCCATTCATGTCTCAGGATGACTGTACAGCTCATCACCCTCCAATGAAACCAGCAGTGATATACTTTAACAGGGTGCTACGGTGCAGGGTCAAACCGCTATTATCAGTAAAGAAAGGATGAGCAGCGATGGGAGACGAGCTCAGACAACTTTGGATTGATGCATATTTGCAGAGAAGACTGCATTGTGGCTTCGGACGAGATGTATTTTAACACATATGATAACGCTTAGTCCCTTTATCACAATAACCAAGTAGAAAGGTAGCTCACGCAATACACTTGTTGAGATCTGCACAATTAATATGCAAAAGATCACAATATATTTGTGGCAATAAGGTTTGCGCTTACAGCATCATAGTTCGCAGAAAGCTGTACATGTATAGACACTGTGTGTGACTCAGTGTTTTGTGGGATATTTAGAATATAATAGATTACAAGGCTTATCACTGATTAGGGATGTGCATTATGATCTTGATTCTAATATATTTGCACATCATTAATTATAGGTAAATTGGCATATTTTATAAAGGAACAGCAGACTCTACAGTGATAGGAGTGATTGTGTGAGTGAGTTATCAGTATTGATGTGTGTAATAGGTGCCAGATATCTTTTTGAAATCTTGTAGAAAAGGTAACGTGGGTGTTTTCTTCTTGACGACGTGAATATCCCTTCACCGTGACGACTGGAGCTGGACTCACTGTTTCTGGACTCTGTGTTCTGCTGGCTCCTCGTGCGAGTGCTGTGATGTGAGATGAATGAAGTGGCGAGGTGCTGTCGAATCACTGGAAGGGTTTATAACACAATGACAAAGCTTATGATTGTCATCTGCTGTTTTTTCAGTGCTCCCCTGTCTCGACACCTGCTTGATCGCCAAAACAAACTTGTGAAAGAATGACTTGCTAGACTAGTTTGTCTGTTATTTGTAGTTAAACCAAGCATATAGGCAATGTTAGCACCTTTCACACAGAGGGGTTTAGTTCACTAGTGTGTGGACAAGGGGATGGGCGCCTACCACAACCTCTTCTTATGCATTTATTGCAGATGCACACATGAACCTCAATAAAATATCTGAAATCACTGACACAATATGACATGTTCTGTAGAAGACTTTAGTGCTATTGTCACAGGCCTACACCTGTGTTTGATAGATGGACCTAGATGCATACTATATACTCATTGTCTTGGGCATTCAGTAAATACACGCTTTAAGATTTGTAGTGGTAGAGGGCTGGGCCAAAAATTATATCAAGATTCAAATTATGTATCATTCATTTTCAATAATTATAAATTCCCCCTATCATAAGATGCGCTCAACATGACCACAGAACTCGGTGGAAGGATGTGGTATGGGTCAGGAAAATAACCTATTACCTTTTGCAGATTAACATCAGGGCACGGATGCAGTGAGAGAGAGCTTTGCCACATTTTCGCTGATTTCTCAGAATAATTCACGGATCTTGATGAAAAAAAAAAATCAAGCATATTAAGTGGACTGATATCTATGAAGATGTAAAATTTGGTGCACATCCAAATAAAAATCCTGCTCTAGTGAATTTGAACTTGTCTCATAATGGGACTGTTGGGCCTTGGTATAATAATAACTTGAATGTTTAAAGCACCTTTCTAGAGACCCAAGGACACTTTACATGTGTCAGCAGGGACAAAAGGACAAATAAATAAGTGTGTGGTCTCTCTGACTTTCATTCTAGTTCCTTTTAAGTTTAAAGTTGAATTTTGCTCCTGAGAGACGGTACAGATCCGTTATACATCGTCACTGTGTGCACACAATCCTCACTGTGTGCACACAATCCTCACTGTGTGCACACAATCCATGAGCATTATATCAGTAATTACTGGACTTTTGTTATTATACCATACTGTTGATGAAAACATCTTGTTATAATAACTTATATTGTTCTATCGCCCAGCCCTGTAGGATACATTCATTTCCCTCACCTCCATTCACACAGACTTAGTTTTTTATCAGTAATAATCCATGTCATCATCACAGTAGCGGTCGGCTCAGAATCCCCTTGTCAGACTACTCAAGCACACAAAATGCATTCAGAAGCACTTTACAACACAAGTAGCACAAGTGTGTGAGGGCATGTTTTCTATTGTGACACAGCTCTGCTCTTTTTTTTCCTGTGTAAATCTTCACATGGAGGCTGAGGACAGAGGACATGTGGGGACGAGAGTCCAGACTCTGATTGTAACGTGTAAAATGTCATAACGAGACAATGAAAAAACTAATTAAACACATTTTTCTTTATATAAAAAAAACAAAACACGTGTGGCTCCTGGAGGTCGATGACTACATGTACCAGAATGCACCGCGGCTGTCAGTTGCAGAGCACTGCAACGGAGAAACCGCACAGTGACACACACACACACACACACACAAACAGGGTCTGACAGCTTGTTCAGTAAGTTGAAGCGTTTCCTGTGTTGACAGCGACTTTAAATGAACCCAGACATGTTGTAGTTGAGAGCAGCAGCTCGTGTCGTTAGATTATCTTTGTCTTATTCTGTGTATTTGGCTAAATTCGAGCTAGTTAGCGTTAGCAGGAGTTAGCTGTTATCATCATTGGGTTAGCTTAGCAGTCCCACCAGCTAGCTAATTAGTTAGCTAGCTGCTGGGACCTGCCCCCGGCATGGCACCTCTTTCTCGGCTCTGCAGCGAAAGCCTTCACCGCAACAATGGCCCCCCCCCCCCCGACAGAGATGGCGAGAGCGGGTTGGTTGACTTTAACAAACCAGGGACATCCACCACTTCAACAGCCTGTGAGAGCCGGTTACCTGCACTCGGCTGCCCGGACACTCGTAAAGCAACGTCAGCAGTCAGCACCGCAGCTGTTAGCTCTCACCTCGATGCGATTCACTGTTAACGAAGTCCGGAGTGTCCTTCCCTGTTAGGTCTTTAATTAAAGAAGCTCATTCTGAAACATTTCATAATGTTCACCCACGTAACTCAGTTATAAGTAAATCCACTGATACTGGCGTTAAATGCACTTTTCGTGGAGCTGAGGCAGAAACACGGATGCACTTGTTCTGTCTCTTCTCTTCTATCGCGATGGGAGACATAGAAAAGTTTGTTTACGACGACACTGGTCATTCTGTAGCTGTTATGCGTGAAGACATCGTGACTATATTTATTTACTTTAACCTTTAGACACTGAACACGGTTTTACTTTGAACGATTATTTCCAGTGACCCTGGAGTAAAGTTATTGACCTGTTGTTATTGAGTGTGTGTTTTTAAACCACAGACGGACATTCATGTCTTCATTGTGCTCTCTGTCCCTCCAGCTTTTAGTGCTTCAAACATGGACCAAGACAACAACTCAGAGGTGTGTAAAAGTATTAATGTGTGTGTCTGTACACCAGCGTAATTAATTGCATTAATTGTCAGGGTAGTAGATCAAAACTTATCGTTGAGTTAAAGTTGTTGTTGTTAATATGATTCTTTGGTTGTGTTTGTGCTTTGGTCACACGTGTAAATGCCGATACAGATTACTGAATGGAAATTGAATTGCTCTTGGGAGCGAGTGGAGTTAAATCAACTGGAATTAAACAGATAAACAGAGCAAATAAGATGTACATTTAAATGAGATATTCAACACAATTTAAAAGTGACTTTGGACTCACCGGGCAGCCTGTATGGGTTTTAAATCGATGTAATACATTTGAATGTTGTTTGTCAACCAGTTGCATCATTTCGTGCAATCACCACGTCTTTCTCAGACAGAGCTCAGCTTGGATATGCGTAGTCTCCATAATCCTGGCACCGTGTGTCTAAGATATTGTTTGCTGTTTTGCTGTGTCACAGGATGAGTCAATCGGCCCATCAGAAGAGGATCTGCCGTGTCTACCTCCAGAGCTCTGTAAGCTGCTTTATAATACTGGGTGTATGCTGTATTTCATCAGAGAGATGGTGTAATATACAATTTTTAAAAAAGGGACTGTTCTATTAAAAAACCTTTTTAAAAATATGTAGATTATCAACCTGGTAGTTTATTACAACTGTCTATTTAATAGTTCATCTGTGTGTTATAGTATCAAACATCTTACAATAATTCTATGCTTTGAGCTATAATAAAGTGTACTAGTCCTGCTTCTCCACATAACCACTTAGCATAAGAATGCAGCTTCTCCTTATTCAATACATACTGTATAAGTTGTGTTACATTATTTACCTTAAGGCACAGACTTATTTCACCATTTTCCCGACCAGCAGATGTTTTTAGACTTGACTAAAAAGCTGTAACTCTTCTCCATTATTAGCAGCAGGGCTTTATGTGTGAAGCTGTTAAAGCTGTGAGAGGATGTTAACTGCTAGAGAAACACATACTGCATTTAAGACATCAAACTTTTTCTTTTTCTTTCGTTTCTGTCGTGACTGTCTAGCTGATGGTGAGGCTGTGGAGCTGCTTTGGCAGTTGCGAGCTCAGCGGCGCCAGTCGTCTCCTGAGCTCCCAGAGACGGTGACACGTCTCACTGCCCCCGATGGCAGCTTGCTGTACCTGGTTGGCACGGCACACTTCAGTGACAGCAGCAAAAAGGATGTGGCAATGGTGGGCCATTCACACATTGCCATTAACACCCTTTTAAGATGTGATATGCTGTGAACTGTTGCCTGATAGAAGAGTAACTGTGAATGTGGAGAAAAGCCGTAGTGTAGCATCTTGAAGTGATGATGAGTTGCAATTATACACTGTAATTAGGTTATTTTTTATTGGTTATTGGTTATTTATTGGTTATTTTCCTGGCATTAATCTTTTCTGCTTTCTCCCTCATTGATTGTTTTGTCTGTACATCCACCCTCACTCAGTTTCCATTTGGTGCTCTCTCTTATTTTGTCTCTGTCTCTTATCCTATAAACCCACTGCTGTCTTTCTCTGTCACACAGACGATTCGCGCCGTGCAGCCGGACGTGGTGGTGGTGGAGCTGTGTCAGTACAGAGTGTCGATGTTGAAGATGGACGAGAATACACTGCTGAAGGAAGCCAAAGACATCAACCTGGATAAGGTTCAGCAGGCCATCAAACAGGTGAGGCTCTCAGGAAGATGGGGAATTAAGAAAGGTGGTGGTGTGAGGGATAAGAGAGAGCACGGAACCGCAGCAGTGAAACAAAGATGGAGAGAGTAAAGTAGATAGGTAGCGGGTAGAGCACGGAGAATTGTCCTGGAGTTTACACAGTTTGTCTTTCACACTTGCACAATGCAGTGAGAGGAACAGCAACAAATCCTCCACATTATCCAGCGGGGGATCCCCTGCTGTGTTGACACAATCTCCTTCATTTCTACGGACTTTATACTGGTAGGTCAGGCGGAGAAAGTCTGCAGATAAGCCTCTCACTCAGTAATTTACGTTCACACATGCACCTCCTCTGTCGAAAATACAGAGAATCAGTGCATGTTTGAAAGCAGCTTAAGTGAATGAGTTTTAGTCTGTTCTTGGTTTAATCTAAAAAGCTTGTGCTATTGTCAGCAAATTAAAATGATCACTGAACATATATTTGTTTGTTTCTACCATCTGTGTTTGACAGAATGGGCTGATGTCTGGCCTCATGCAGATTCTCCTGCTCAAAGTTTCCGCTCACATCACAGAGCAACTGGGCATGGCTCCTGGAGGAGAGTTTAGAGAGGCCTTCAAGGAGGTAAATCACACACAACAAAAGTGATGAAGAAGTTGATCATTTTTATGTTATTCTCTTTTCTTATTGTTGAAGTTTTTCCCTCCACACAGGCTGGACAGGTGCCCTTTTGTAAATTTCACCTGGGGGACAGGCCGATCCCTGTGACCTTCAAAAGGGCTATTGCTGCCCTCAGTCTGTGGCAGAAGGCTCGTCTGGCCTGGGGTCTTTGCTTTCTGTCAGATCCAATCAGGTATGGCATCACTTTTTGTCACAGTCCAGAAAACATCTTTCTGTATTATTAGATGCTGCTGTTTAACAGCATGTAAGAGATGTACAGCACTGCATACTTGATTCTAAATCAAAAGTGCTCACCACACATCTTGTTTGCTTATCTAATGTTCTCTCATTAAAGGTTGAGGAAAAAATAGAAAAGGGAAGTTTAAATGTAAATGCTCAATATCAATCAATTTTGAAATTCGGGGAAATTTTTGCAGGTGGTAGTGAACATAACACTTTGAGCAGTTTTTGCATAATAAAGCAGCTCCAGATACGTCTGAGAATATCTGTGTGCTCTCTGTTGAGTGAGGGACTGTGCGCCCACACATTTTCCAGAGCACAAGCAAATCTGCCAATTTGTTCAACTGCCAGCGCCCATGAGCTCTGACTGGAATCTTTATGCATAAAGTGATTACGTGTCCATCCTCCAACATCATTGTGACCAAGCCTTTTAAAAGTGCTGTACGTTCTCTGATGTATTAAACTCTGATGCACACAGATGGGGACTTAAACAGATTATGTGTTAGAAGATATGTTTTGAAATGATCAAGGGCATTTGCACAATGTGAAAAAGTATTTTAAAGTCTCTTAGACGCTCTGAATTCAGCATTTGTAGACTGAACACAACAGTTTCAAAGTCTCTCACAAATATAAGCAATGCAGTCTATTGCTTAAATGTCATTGACTAGATTCATACTGTATGTTGTGCTCATTTCACTAAATTGAACAGTAACAATTATTAAGAAATTAATTCACCTCACAATAAATACAGAATCTAACATCTGAACAAAATCACTCAGAATTTTATTTTCTTATCATATGTTTCAGTAAAGAGGACGTGGAGAAGTGCAAACAGAAAGACCTGCTGGAGCAGACCATGTCGGAGATGATCGGCGAGTTTCCTGCTCTCCATCAGACCATCGTGGCTGAAAGAGACATTTACCTCACTCACACTCTCCGTCAGGCTACACGCTGTGTGGAGGCTCCCCCTAAGGCCCTGAGTGAGTATTTCACTGTTCAACAAGAAAGGCATCACATCTTGTAGATCATGATATTCATGAGAATTAAATAGATGTTTAGCTTGCTCATTGTGTTCTTTAGTCTTTGAATCAAATGCAAGTATATATATGACACATACATATGTTTTAAAAAATATATAATCATTAATTAGTTCTTAGAAATGAAAACTAATTGGTTAAACTGCTGTTATACCTCTGGTCGGCCAGCAGAGTTCTGGTTAATTTCCATATTCCCCAAAGCTCATTCAGAATGAACTGATGCAATCAGTTTTTCATCAGGGGGCATTTACAGGCAGCGTTGCCAACTCAGCACATTTGTCACTACAACATTTCATACTGTTTTGCAGAAGTGCCTGCTGTGGTGGTGGGAGTCGTTGGGATGGGTCATGTTCCTGGCATAGAAAAAAACTGGGAGAAGCAGCTTAACATTAGTGAAATCATGAGGTATGTTTATTTTGTTGTTTACATTATTGATATTCAGAAGTTCAAATGAACTTTAATTGTATTTGCCTTGACAGTTCAACCGCTGCTCCGTGTGTGTGTTTGTTCCTCAGTGTTGCGCCTCCCTCACGTTTTGGCTGGGTGTTGCGCACAGTCATGAAGGGCGTCATGATGGGAATGCTGGGATATGCCTGTTACCGTGCTGGAGGGAGTATAGGTAGAGCCCTACTGTCTTTACCAACTGTCCAAACAGCACTGAAGACTATACGGCCACCCCCTGCTTGACCCCACTGGTCCTCTCCAAGCCATCACTGACACGACCTCTGATTTATGAAAACAATGCATCTTTCACCAGTGGCCTTAACAAAAGGAGGTGAGGCTGGAGGAATAGAGTTCACCAGCCCACACTATGAACTAACAAGGACCTCAGGGCGGTTTAGAGCCTTCCCTCTTGTATTGATGTCCCTGTCAACACAGCAGGGCCGTACTGCCAAAGAAACCATGACAGTACTCTTTTTTTTCTATTATCATATTTTGTGCAAATCCTGCATTTTGTATTGTTTACAAATGCCAACAATTCCTTTTGAATAGATTTATCCCACAATTCCTTTTAATGACTTACACGCAGAGATATGATTGGACAAGTACCGTCAGAAACATCTGCAGTCACCTGCCCTGATATGATGATACACTTTCTGTGAGGAACACTTTTCTAACGCTCTGTCCTTACTCCTTTCTTGTGCCAGCCAGGATTTGGAAATTGGCACATTTCAAGTCGAACACTTTAGAAGAGACTGGTGGCGTCTTTCACTGTACATGCAGCCGATGGAAAGGACAAGAAAGCAAAACATCAAGTCATTTAGAACTAGAACAAATAAAATGGAGAAATATAATCAAGGTTTTTTTTTTTTAAACCTTCCGTTTTAATAGTTTGTGCATAGAGCAACACAAGGTTAATGTCAACAGATGTCTGAATTGGAGGGTTGACCATCATTTCCTTAATTGTTGAATATTTCACAAAACTCATACAGGATTAGCATGAACTTATTCCATATGTGCATGGCCCTGCCTACATCAACAGACAAGTGCCTCATACTGCAGCTGTAAGGGCTAATGGTTAACTACATGGAATGGCAAAAATGTGTGTTATGCATCTCACAGATAATACAAACAAATGGTTGATTCAACTTTGTTGGTAGCAATCTGTCCTTTTATTGATTTAAGTAGACACACATTAAACTGTTGCCCTTAATACAGACATCTGTCTACATTCTGTCGACTTAGCTTCAGCAGATATGTTGCTTGAATGTTATTTGTGTATTTAATTGTACCTCCAGTATGAGGCACCATAATCTTTAGGCTTTTTCTGGTTCCATCTCTTAGTAAAGGTTTCATACTTGACACAGATATTTGCATCATAGGCAGAAAGCTATCTCTGAAAACCTTCATATGAGGACGTCTGACATTCAGCACACCAGCTGTTTGTACTTTTATGATATATGCATTATCACTTCCTGGTATGATTGTAAAAAGGGGAACAAGGATTGGTTGATCTAACAGACGATTTAAAAGTTTTATTGATTGTCATGATTTCCCGTTGAGGGAAATTAGTTGTGGGCTTGCTTTGACCATTATTTGAAATTAGAGGTTGGTCAGAGATGAGAGGTTAAGCCTTACACTGCTATCACTGCTGCCTTGACCCTGTTATAACCCAGTGACCTGTATCCACAGTACAGAGTCTTATTGCACATATAAAAACAGGATGGATAACATCCCGGGAACTTGTAAATTCAACAGTGTAAACAAGACAATAACACAGTTGCAAGGTTATATACCAACATTGAATTCCTTAGTTTTCCACAACTTAATTTAAAGTAATTTTTTGTACAGTGCATTATCTAGATGTATTTACAAGATTTGTGAATATAAGACTGGAATAACTGAAGCAGTACATTATTAGACCAGCTGTTAACTATCCAAACAAACTCATTCAGAAAAAATGTCTTCCAACTGATGAATGATATCAATTCATATATAAGCATTGTGAGAATGTGGAGGACAGATGCAGTCGTGCCTCAGGCCCTCAGCAGTATAATGCAGTCAGATTCAAACATTGTCCCCCTGCCATAGAACTCTGAGTGGTTTAATCTACTGTAACTTTGAGAATTGCCAAGAAAACTGTTTGAATGCCTGTTATTTGTTGCAAAGTTTGTTTCCGCATATCCTTGTGTCGTATTGTCGTTGTTGAAAACATTGAATTCTGAATAATCTCATGAATTATAAAAGCATTTTAAATAAAGATATGACTATATTTGCCTCAAAGATTTAGCTTTCTTCCTGCTGTGTATCAGCTACACACACACACTGACAGGGACATCTGATTTCATCAGAATGCGGTTTGTAGCTAAATTATGTTATATAATTTAGTTTAATCATTAGACATTTGGATTTCAACCTATGTACTTCACATTTTTCATTTTGGGTCAGACATATATCATTGTTACACGGTATCTCTTATTCAGTTATTATATTGACATTTATACTATACTGGTTTTGCATTAACTTTGGATTCTGTCGACGTACAGATATCAATGTTGCACTGTCTGTATCGAAGAATAATATGAATCATGATCCTATCACTAATGAATATATTTAAATGAATCCCCAAACATTATTATCTTGCTTTTAAGTCATTGTGGGTTTTGGGCTGTGTTGTTCCACATTTACAGATATCAGTGTTGTACTGTCTGTCACAATAATATTATTAGCTTTCTTATTAAGTTTTTATTATAAATGAATTATTACCTGAACTTTGTTAACTCCGTTTTATAACAATTTGAGCTTCTGTCTATGTAGTTCCGCGTGTAGCGCTTGTTTCCGGTCGGACAGATTTCAGTGTAGTACCGTCTGTCGTAAACAGAAGGATTATGAAAGCATGATCAGTGACTGCGACACAAACTCACTCATGGCCGCGGTTTCATGGCTTATTTAGGACCTCGGCTGCGACCGTCACGCATCGTGGTCCCTGGTGTGTCCGTGTTCAGACGCCTCGGCTCGGGCGGGATGGAGAACATGGGTCTGGCGGTGAGTCGCTCCCCGCTGGAGCGGCTGGAGTTTGACAACGCCGCCCTCAGGAAACTTCCCCTGGACCCGTCGGAGGATCCCGGCGTGCGGCAGGTGAAGGGAGCGTGCTTCTCCCGGGTGAAGCCGCAGCCGCTGACCCGGCCTCGCTTCGTGGCCGTGTCGCAGGACGCCCTGGCGCTGCTGGGGCTCAGCGGGGAGGAGGTCACCGAGGACCCGCTCGGAGCGGAGTATCTGAGCGGCTCCAGGGTGATGCCCGGATCCGAGCCCGCCGCTCACTGCTACTGCGGACACCAGTTCGGACAGTTCGCCGGGCAGCTGGGCGACGGGGCGGCCTGTTACCTGGGGGAGGTGAAGGTGCCTCCCGGTCAGGATCCAGAGCTGCTCCGGGAAAACCCGAGCGGCCGGTGGGAGATTCAGGTGAAGGGAGCAGGACTGACTCCTTACTCCAGGTACAAGCTGCTTCTGTGATGGACTGTGTGTCATGTTGTGTTTCCAGGGTTCTGGAAGAAAAGGGTTTTATTCAAACGTGACTGCGTTTCTCCTAGTTCATTGTGCAAAGTGTTAAAAGTCTGGCAGCAGCATTTTCGTTAAGTGGTTGGTGAAGGAATGATCTAATTTTGCTTTTTCTCAGTGAATCAAAGCAGGACTGCACTACTTTGATCATTATAATTATTATTATTGTGATAATTTGCTGCATTTTGCAATCTGTGTCTCCCCTCCACAGACAGGCTGATGGCCGAAAGGTTCTGCGCTCCAGTATAAGAGAGTTCCTCTGCAGTGAGGCCATGTTCTTCCTGGGTGTGCCCACCACCAGAGCTGGTTCCGTGGTGACCTCTGACAGCAGGGTGGTACGGGACGTGCACTACAGCGGACACCCGCGCCAGGAGAGATGCTCTGTGGTTCTCCGCATCGCCCCCACCTTCCTCAGGTGAGCGCAGGTCATTGCCTCCCTCTCATCCGTCATGGATGTCTGAGCTTTGTAAACACCAGAGATGTCTGTCGTCTTCACTGTGCAGGTTTGGATCCTTTGAGATCTTCAAGCGGGCAGACGAGTTCACCGGGCGCCAGGGTCCCAGCTACGGGCGCGATGATATCCGAGGTCAGATGTTGGATTATGTCATTGAGATGTTTTATCCTGAGATCCAGCAGAATTACCCAGACCGAGTGGAGAGGAACGTGGCTTTCTTCAGAGAGGTCAGAGCCCCCGAGTGACACCTGTCTACATTTTTCCACTTTAGCAACTGCAGCTGTTTTTCTTTGAGGGGTATCATGAATCTTGGTGTCAGGACATATGGCTCTGGGTGGTTTTTCAACATTTTTGTTGATTTCTCAGAAAATCAAATGCATTAACATGGCCTAGAAATTTTAAGAAAATATCTAAGTATGTATGTAAGATTACTGTGTTCTGTAAAGTTTACCCAAATCAGCATGAAGCCTTTTCAAGGCAGTGACACTACAGTTTGAAGCCAAGAACATTTCTAGATCCTCTTATCCTGTTAAGCTGCTGTGATTCAGTGACTCAGTCAGTGACTCAGTCAGAATGTGACTGTTTGCACCGAGTCGCTCTGTCCACGGCTTAATATGAGATAATATTAAGAGAGCCGGATACAGACTTCTGACATTTCCCTCATGTAATTAGAAAGTAATGGTTTCATCCGTTCTCCTCAGGAGTTGTTTTCAGATTAGAGACATGCAGTAGAACTTTACTGTGAGTTGTTGTGTTTGCAGGTGATGCTTCGCACCGCTCGGCTCGTGGCTCAGTGGCAGTGTGTAGGTTTCTGTCATGGAGTCCTGAACACAGACAACATGAGCATCCTGGGAGTCACGCTGGACTATGGTCCATACGGCTTTATGGACAGGTCAGACATTTGTAGAGTTTATATGACCAGTTGGTCTGATTGATCCAGGAGACGTGCTGATTCTGTATGGTCTTTTGATATTAAAGCAACACTATGTACGTTTTTTCTGAGCAACAGCGCCCTCTGCCTCCACACGTGGTGATTACTTCTGTTGGGCTCTGTGTCCGAGGGATTCAGTAGTTTTCATTAAGAGAAAGATCTAAGCCTCTCAATCTCTGGCTGCATTGTCCCACTCACTGAACTGAAACACAACTGAACAGTGGATATTACTCATGATCCCCGGCTCCCTGAACCAGAAGAGCTGCAGCTGTAACAAATCCACCAAACTTCTTATTTGAAAGTTTCTCTCATTGAGTACTGAAGACAGAGGCTGGTTTTTAATGATTTCTTAGTCTTTTTAACTGACACACTGTTCAGCAGCATTACCCTTGAAGTTGCTGGAGCCTGTTTCAAGGAATTGAAGGAGTAACAATCAGTCAGATATACAATTCTCAAAGGAGATCATACACACTCAAACAGGAAGTAGGGTGAGGAGTGGGAATGAAAGAGGAAACTTTCTCCCTTTTCCAGTGAACAATCAAACTAATTCCGAAGCAGCAATTCTCTGGTAAAACAGTTGCATTGTGTTGCTTAATGTCAAAAGAGCCTTTATAATTTTCTGCTGCAGCTTATGCATCTGCTTCTCACAGCAGCAAGTTGAAAGCGCGATCATAGCCACAACACACACATTCTGGGTTTGAAGTTTCCATCACAACTTTCCTAATTTCCTTCAGGTTTGATCCAGATTTCATTTGCAACGCCTCCGATAACTCCGGCCGTTACTCGTACCAGGCCCAGCCGGCGATCTGCAGGTGGAACCTGGTGAAGCTAGCAGAGGCTCTTGCCCCAGAGCTGCCACCGGACCGGGCTGAGGCTGTCACGGACGAGTACCTGGATCTGTACAACGGCTTCTACCTGGAGAACATGAGGAAAAAACTGGGCTTATTGAAGAAGGAAGAGCCTGAGGATGAAATTCTGATCACAGAGTTGCTGCAGACCATGCACAATACAGGTGGAGCTAGAGAGCATCAAACTCCCTCACAACAGAATGTGTGTGATGATGGAGCATATGTACACAAAGCACTGTGATGAATCATGAGAAATATTAAACCTGTTGCACCACTGTTGTCTGTTTCTCTCCTGCAGGTGCGGACTTCACGAACGCCTTCCGCAGCTTGAGTCAGATTTCCTGTCCTGCTGAGGGTGAAGGTGAAAGAGAAGAGGAGCTAGTGAAGGAGGCGACTGAACTCCTGCTGGAACAGTGCGCCTCCTTAGATGAGCTCAAGGCTGCAAACAAACCTACGATGGATCCACGGTGAGCAGGTCGACGCTGCCATGTACAGAACAGACCTCACTATGAGCTTCATTTGTTCTGTAGTAAATAGAATGATAGAATAGAATAATGGTTCACAGCAACAACACATGGGCAGTAAATGTAGTCATGGTTCATTGCAATAATTCCTGTGATCTTTACTCCACCTCCACCGTCACATTTACTTTAATTTATAACAAAATATAGTTCCTTGAAAACTAAATATCAAATTTGTTTTGATAGTTGTTGGTATCCCCCTCCCAGAGGACGCATTGACCTTAACATGTGTCACCACCATTCGGTCAAAATTTCCCCTTAAACAGCAGAAGTATGGCTGTATTACCATTTTGTTTGTGCTCCAGCTAAATGATCAGTTCCATATTCATTATCCTTAACAGTCAGTGATAGATGATAATACACCAAACTATCACGGAGCAACATAAGCATTGGAGTCAAGTTTCTAATAATGATTCTAATGATAATTAATCAATTATCATGATCAAAACTGTAATTTATTTTTTACATTTAAAATAAACTGCGCATCTCATTGTTTAGCTTTGGATGGAGGGACGACAGGGCATGACAGAATTGACAGATTGTTAAGAGGAATGTTATTTTTGGTAATATTGGTTTCAAGGGAATGCCCCCCCCCCCCAATCCCCCTACAAATTGATTATTGGTTAAACCCCTTTAGTCAATTGAACCCTTATGTTAATATGAAAACTGAAGCATTCATACTGATTGCTGTCAACATATCTTTCGCTTCCAGTTTTAAAGTAGGAACCATAATCATTTGATGGAATCTTGCTGAAAACACAGCCTCAGTAGATCCGGGGTTCCCACCTGTGCCCTGTCTGTCTGAAAATGAAAGTAACAATGTCAAAGGTCGTTATTTTTCAGTTGCAACAATGCTGGAGAAAAATCTAAATCTAATTATCTGTCAATGTGGTCCAGCTTTGTATATTGTATAATACAGAGCGGATGACTTATAATTGAGTCTTGTGCTGTTTTTTGAAGTCGTAGAAGGAAAATCTGATCATTGAGCAGACGAGATGTAAACATGGAGGATCAGAGTAATCAGAAGTGGCACGTTTAAATACGTTATCTGATTTCCTGCCTAATCTAATCTGCACATGTAAACAGAGTCAGTGAACGTGCCATAAACACTCGTCTGTCTTCTTTTCATCTCATTACCTTATTTTCTCCATGAAAGTATCTGAAGAGCGGATGAAACCTGGATCGACCACACAGGCAGATTGGGTCCTCTGCTTTCTCCAGCACGTCAGTAACAATTTGAACTGTTATGATTCCTGTCTGCCGTTGACAGTGAGCTGGCGATGCTGCTGTCCATGGCTCAGAGCAGCCCAGCGCTGTTCCAGATGATCTCAGACAGGATGACAATAGCGAGGCAGTTGGACAAACTCAGCAGACTGAAAGATCTGATGGAGACGAGCCAGGAGGAGCTGAGGGGCAAACAGGCCGAGGAGTGGACTCGCTGGGTCGCAAGCTACAGGTGAGATGGAGGGAAAGGGGCCAGGTATCTGAAGGAAGAGAAAGAAGTTATAATAAAACCAAAGAAAAGATTGAGGAACTAGTTTCACCGGATGAGTAGGGGTTGTTTTGTTTTTGGGTGGATGGTGATGGGTGGAAGTGTGACTGATAACAGAGACTGACAGAGAGGGAGGGTGAGAGGAGGAAATGGGATGTTGAGTCTGACATTGTTCCATGACTGTAACTCTCTGACTGAATGTTTTTTGCACTATCACTGCCGCAGGAAGCGTCTGGCTCGTGAGCTGGAGGGGCAGAGCGATGTGCAGGCTGTGCAGGAGGAGAGGGTGAGAGTGATGGACGGCACCAACCCGCGCGTGGTTCTCAGGAACTACATCGCCCAGAATGCAATCGAAGCTGCAGAGAGTGGAGACTTTTCTGAGGTCAGGCTCGGATTCACTGTCAGTGTTAAACACATTGTACTTCTGTTAGTACCTCCGCCAAGGAGGAGGCCATCTGTGGGTTTGTCGGTGGGATTATGCAAAAATTACTGAATGGATTCCACCAAAACATGGTGGTTTGATGGGATATGAGCTAAGAAAGAACCCATTCAGTTTTGGTGCAGATCTGTGCAAAGAGGGGAATCTAGGAATATATTTTCTTTATCTCAAACATTGTAAGTTAAGGCATTTTTAGACATTTTCATACATTTCCCAGGGAATCATTTATAGGTCACATATTTCAGAAGACTGATATCTATGAGTGTGTGCAATTTGGTGCAGATCCAAATTAAAATACAGAGTTTGTACAAATGTTATTCCATCGGGGTTGGCTTTTCTTCAGCCACTGTATATTAAAATTAAAGGGCTAAAAATGTGTAACTATAATCACTGTGTACCTTTGATCAAGTCCATTCAGCAGGAAGTCAATAGTTTAAGAATTATGTCCAAAAATAAGATTTGCTGCTGAATTTTAAGGGGACTTGTTGATGTCTGCACTCTGTAGAATTCTAGTTTTGAATGTGAATTTAATGTAATCTTGTTCCAGTGCACTTTGGTTGAGACAATAGAACATTTGCATGAACGTTGCTTTCTGCAGCACCTCAACAATAATTTATATATTATTATTAGAATTCACTGAAATTCCCTTGTGCTGCAGCGTTTCACTTTCAGCTCTCACTTCCTCTCAGGTCCAGCGGGTTCTCAAGGTTCTCGAGAAGCCCTTCTCTTCGCAGCCAGGTCTGGAGCTTCCTGCGTGGGTGGGCGGAGGCGGCGCTGCAGAACGGGCGGAGAGAGACGAAGGAGAGGAGCAACAGCAAGAAGCTGCATCTCCATCCACAGCTAGAGATCCTGTTCCCTACGACAGCAAACCTCCAGCTTGGGCTAATGAACTCTGTGTCACATGATCTTCGTAGTAACTTTCCTGATTATCAGCTCGTCTGCCTGAAAGAGAGAGTTTATTCTTGTTTTAATTTTACTGTCTCTCCTCGCTCTTCCAGTCACTGTACAGCTCTCTCTTTCATTGGCAGGCAGCGTCAGGGAAGTTAGCATGAGGCACGACGCACCACAGGATACCTTGCTGACGCAAAACAGACAGGGGCTGAGTTAAGTTTGGTACAAACACATAAAATTACAAATATGACGGTGCCATATCTGGTGAAAAGTTTTTGACCATGTGTGAAATGGGTTTTAAGGATACGTTTCTTCCGATGGCTTCACATTTCTGAATTTAACAGGATGTTGTGATGGAGATAACCAATCGAACAAAACTTCATTTTAGGAATTCCATTGACATGGGTTTGGCCGGGTCACCCAAAAAATTCATGGGTGGAGTTTTAGTCAGTGACCCAGAATGCAAGATGCATCAGGTGAAAGAAAAAGATCGGATTTTTAATCAAAAGTCTACAGAAGTAGAGTTTATAAAATATACATGGAGACACATTTTCTCATTTCCTGGGACTTCCCCCCCCAAAAAGCAGCCTCAGCTCGCGTCCTGTCTGTTTAGTGTTTAGTTAGGGATTAATGACGAGTCAGACAACAAGTCCTACAGTGACCTGTCTGATTCTGATGACCTGTGGGGTGTCACCTCAACATATACCAAATAATATGATATATACAGTGTGTGTGTGTGTGTGTGTGTGTGTGTGAAAGATGATGTTATGCTTGTGGGTGAAAGGGAATTACTGCACTTGTTTCTTTAAGCCGCGGAAGATAATACGCACAATATATTCTAGACAACACCATCACTGGTATAGAACAGAACCTCACATATGAACTTAGCTTGTTAATTTCTTGTTAAGTGAACATCGACACGACTGTTGAGAGAGAGAAAAAGAGGAAACACATGACCAACCATTGTCGAGGCAAACTTTAATAGAGGAAGTTTATTAACGTGTCATAAATGTGATGCTAACAAGTGTGGTTCTCTCCATAAGGAAAGAAAAACATGGACACACATACATGAATCGACTGCCTTTAGGGCCAACACCACTGGTTATAGCTTGTGCCCTCTGAATCAGGATCAATCTGTTGGTTCGGTGAATGAATTTTAGACCTGTTGTAAAAAAGCATCAAAACATCCTCGCTTAACAGACGACAGGGATGGACATGAAATTAGATTTTATTTTTGCTTAATAATGTGAAATATAACTGAGCGCTCCCTCAGCTATGTCTTTAACCTATCTTAATAAACAGAGCAGTGTGATAAATCATTTTGCCTCCTTTAACCTATCATAGCTGCCTTGTTATTTTAGGAACCGAACTCCACCTCCACATTTCTGTTTCATAACAAGAACAACTCAAGCTTTTACACGCCTCGTGTTGATACAGGCAAATGTTTCAACCTTTCTCTGTTTGTATAAATGTGAGCCGGAGCTGAGACAATGTAAAATATCCTGTTTGCTTATGATATAACTGTGTATTTGCTCTGTTTCCTGGACGCATACCTCCCCCTTTAGCACTTCTCCAATTGCATTCTTGTGGTTATCTTCACCTCAAGTCCCAGCAAGCCCCCAAAATGTTTGCTGCGCCGAGGACGCAGCTCTGAGGACTGGAACCTGCAGTAGCCAGACCAAGTCACACAGAGGACTTTGTTTAAGCTTCTCTACACCTGCCGACGCGTTTCTGTCTCACCCCGTCAGTCTGTCGTCTCATGTTACTCACATTCCAGTCGGCGTTTCACCTTTAATTGTGAACCTTCAGCGGGAGTGGCTCCGGGTGACCTCAGGGTGCGGTGCGCCCTGAGCCGCTGCGCACTGGTGTGTGGGTGAGGGTGAGCGCATAGGTGGGATCTGAGACAATGGGTGTGTAGCGACGGCGCAGGAAAACAAAAACCAGCCAAAGAAGAAGACGAAACCTGGACCTAACGCGGTTTTAGGGTTTTAACTTAAACATGTCCAAGCGCGTCAGACCCGGTTACTACCGACAAGAAGTCAACAAAACCTCGTGGGAAGTGCCGGATCGTTACCGGGATCTGAGGCAGGTGGGGACCGGAGCGTACGGGACGGTTTGGTAAGTGGAAAAAACACTCAGATTTCACACTGCGGCTTTTACTGTGGAGCTCGGTGGTGAACAAAAGAGGCCAGATGGTGACATCCAGGAGGCGGACGCACGGTGCCACAGCCGAACAAAAGAAAAAGTCTGTGCGCTCCGCTGAACACGCGCTGCTCCACTTCCTGATATGATGGAGACAGTTGCACCGACACCTTCACCGCAGTCTACCTCACGTCACCTCTTCGGGTTTTTTGCAGCTTGATGAACAGAGCAGGACTCGAGGCTTAAAGACACAAATCGCTCACAACCAGTTTTTACTGATACATGACATTTCCATTCACATACAGACGCACAAGCTGCTCCTCAGGATCCTTGTGCGTCTTTGTTAGCGATGATGGACGGCGTGGGCGGGTCCTGAGCTGCTCTGAGCCCCTGAATGCAACTTAATAACACATGAACTAGTCTGAAAACAACATGTGGCCCTCCTGCTGCTTGAGAGCACATCTGGATGGAGCAGAGGATGGGGGGGGGGGGGGGGGGGGGGGGAGTGTGTGTGTACTTATAAACACTGACCTTTCAGGAGCTGTAGACCTGATGGGGACCATGGTCCCATAAAAACCTCATGTCTGAGGTCCTGGTTTAGGTTGGGTTACATCTGAGAGGGTTCTGGTTGAGGTTTGGGTTTCATCTGAGTGTGTCCTGGTTGAGGAACGGGAGTTAATACAAAGTCATAATAATTGCCAACTTGTGTATATATTTGTGTGTTTGTGGTCCAGGTAATATCCATGTTGTGGGGACCTGAATCTGTTTACACATGATGGGGACTTGTCTTCCTTATCGGGACAAAAGCAAGTCACCATTAAGATAAATCATTACATTTTAAGATGAAGACGCACTGAAAGTTTTGGATTAGGTTAATGTTGAGGTATGGTTAAGGTTAGAGTAAGTCTCCAGGAAATCAATTAAAGTCAATGTAATGTGTGTGTGTGTGTGTGTGTGTGTGTGTGTGTGTGTGTGTGTGTGTGTGTGTATTGCAGTCACAGATTTAAGCTATTTGTCAAATTCCTCATCAGAAGTTAAGGAATTAAATCTTTAGTT